CATTTATAAGAAAAATTCTTAGATATAAAATTGCTGAGTCAAAGATAAGTGAACTTGGTGTTTCCAAAATTAAAGTCTAACTGTCCTCAAAAAAGTTACAAAAATTCACCCTCTCATTAACAGTGTATGGAGAAAAAAAAAACCCTAGACTTTTTAATATTTGCTTTTCTCCCCTCACTTTCCAGATGTGTCCCAGAGGAGAGGGTAAAATCTGAAGTCATAACTGATTTGTATATTTTCCCTTCGACATTTACCCTTAATTACTGATAGTTCCTTGCAGTTATCCTCTGTAGATGCTCAATTTAAAAATGTAAACAATGCTAAAGGTACAAAAGTTTCTTCTTGTTCTCTGTTAGGGGTAACAGGTTCCTCTAATTGAGCTGAGGACTGTGTAGGAAGCCCCCAGCCCCAAAAGAAAATAAATCAAATAGAGCACAGAAAAACATACTAAAGTCAATTCTCATTGCTGAACATTTCTCCATGTGTGAGGTTCAGCCCTAGATAAAAACATTATCTGCACACATCATCTCCTGTTCGAGTCTTTGTGTTTCTGAGCAACCTCGCAGACTGCCTGAGACCAGGGAAAGAAAGACTCGATGTCCCAAGTGCTACCACTAGTACCACGCCCAGTGAAGTGCTGTTTTCACTGAGAAGTAACAGGCAGTCTATTATCGGTCTCCAATTTCTACTAACGGTCATGTCTGAGATAACTGATGCTCTTCCTGATGCCCTTGAGGCCCGGTGAGATCATCAAAGATCTTCTATATCATTGAAAAGATAAACATGTGCTCAGTATAGTTTAATGTCAAAGTACATTTTGCTGTATCTGTATTGTATAAAAATTAGTCACAGAAAAGTGGTCAGCCGGATATCTCTACATTAAACAGAATGTTGAATTCACCAGAATATCTCACTCTTCTAGCTAGTTAGAAATTTACTGTACTTGAGATAAACTGGGATTTACCATATTACTCAGCCCTAATCTCCCCACTGAAAGTTCATATGCTTCACTCTTGCTGTCAAAGTGAGCAAAGGAATCAATGTTCCCTCTTAGGTAAAAATAATGTGAAAAAGAGCTATTTCCCACCACCCCCACCCACTGAAAAGAATAAAATAGAAGACTGTTAAATCCACGCTTAATAATAATTTCCAAATCAGTAATTACATCAAGATTAGAACAAATAAGTAACTGGTTTGGAATGCAAAGCTTGACTAAGTGATTTTATATCACAATATAGTTTCTGTGATTTGCTTATATAATGGCAGCTGCTCATTTATTTTAAAAAATCTTTTAAAAGCTTTTGGAAAACAAGTTTTTGAAACTCAATTTACACCTTCCCCCAAATTAATTAAATTAAATCCCCAAGAAAGAAGGCATGTTCCATAAAGGACCAGAAGTTGGATGTTGACTATATTGTGTGATTTAAATCAGCACTTACCAGAGTCAGTATCTCCTTTTCAGAGAGCAAGAACACAATTACCCCACCCCTATTGTACCTCTGTAAAATAAAGGAATTCTCCCTTTTTTCCTTTGAGAAGGCCGAGTTCCAGGAGGTGGTTCCCAAGCCATAGAAACCATGGGGATGCCCAAGCAAATGAAACCACATTTGGAACTCTTTATCTTAGTAACTATAAATCCCCTTGATCTGTCTGGTTACAGACCTATCACCAACTGAATTCCACTTTCTAGCCAGAAAAGTTCTGTGAAGTTTCAGTACATTCAAGAACAGGTCATCTATATTCAGGTCATCTATATTCAGTGATATCACTAACCTAAAAAATGCTTCTTGTATGTGTGAAATTCATCCAACTCTAAGTGTAGGGGGTGGGTTTTGGGTGCTGTCATTTGCTGTGGATATCATTGCTCACGAGCAGCTACTTACTGCAAAAGTCAAGTCAACCTTGGAGATCAGGATCTCTTGAAGGTTTCTGATATATTAAGTGGAGACCCTAAAATAGGCACCAGTGCACAAGATTGCAAACCAAGGCATTTGCAAAATGAGCAGTGCACCAAGATCTCCATTGTATGTGATTAGTCAGTCTCTCACTAAGGAGAAGTAGCTAGATACATTGACATAAAACGTGGAATTAAAAAACATGGCCTGGTCATAATTTCTTTTGCATTATTAAAAAACAATCTAAGATATACCTGTAACATTCAAATTATCTACAGTTTGAGTGCCTTCTCCTTCATTTGTTCAGTGCTTGTCTAGCTGTTGGGGACATGTGGAGAGTGAGCCTATCGTGATCTCTGCATTCAGAGCAGTGAAAGACTAAAGAAATGAAATAATGACTGCACAATATGAGAATGTTCAGAGAATAAAAGTAGGGAAATAGGAGTGGAATGGCTGGGTATTTAGGAGTGGGGAGCCTTTCTGAATGTCTAAATTGAGAGTTGAAAGGCAAGAAGGAGCTAGCTCTGGGAAAGTGAGGAAAGGGACAATGCAGGCAGAGGTCCCAAGTCCTGGAAGGCCCTGAGGAGGGAACAAGCTGATGTGTTGGAGAATCTGGAATTCAGCCCCAGTTGCCCAGGAGCAAAGAATGAGTGGGAAAGTGATGACAGAGCAGAAGTGTGGCAGGTCAGGCTGCATAAGACTTCTGAAACCTATCAGAGCCTGCATTTTATTCTAAAGGTAATGGGAAGTATGGGGGTGTTAAAACAAATAGGATGATTCAACATCTCTTCTTCAAAGACCCCAAACTGAAAAGAAGACCAAACAGAGTGGGTAGAAGGTGTGGGTAAGGTGCACATGCATCTCCTGGTACCTCTCACAGAGTGAGCCAGGTTCTGGGAAGTACTTATGGCAGCTGTTTTTGGAATGACATCACCACTGTGACATCACAGCTGTAGCACAGGCCATTATATCAGCACTAAGTTAGAAAAGACTTTAAGTCAGCAAAAAGCCCTCTCGTTTGGCTCCACCCCAGGATCCAGATTCAATCCAGTCTCTCATTGTCACCAGAAACTGCCCCAGTCTACTCTGTGTTTTAGAAACACAAAAGGTTTGAGTTGTCAAGCACTGCCAGATTCCATACGTTCCCTGTGTACTCCTTTTGGAAATAAAAATATGGAGAACTATCTGTGCAGTCACCCCTGTCTCATGTGAAGAGGAAAACTCCCAAATATCAGCGCCCCATGATGAATGTTGTACTCGGTCATTAGCCACCTATATTTAGCAAAACCAGCCACTAACCTCTGAGCCAAATGAGAGGTCATATGTTATCTGAGAAGCACATGCTATTGTGGTCATCAAACAGCCAATCTAGAGTGAGGTATTGTATGGCAGATTCTTGTTATAACACAAAGGGTACTATAATGATTCCTGCTACTCAGAAATTTAGATAAGTTTACATCAATGGGAACACAGACTCTGCAACTACATTTCAAAGGAGTCCAATACAATTACTTTTTTTGTGTATGTGGAAAGAGCAATTAATATGCAATGTGGTCTCTTAAAGTTTTAAGTCAGTACACTACTATGGGCTCAACATTGTACCACAGATCTCTAGAACTTACTCATCCTGTGTATCTGGAACTTTAGACCCACTGAATAGCAAGTTTCCATTTCCCACACTCCTAGTCCCTGAAAACATCATTCTATCCTACTTCTAAGAGTGTGTTACAGATACTTCAGATGAGTGGCATCATGTAGTATCTGTCCTATGACTGGGTTATTTAATTCAGCATAATGTCTTCAAGGTACATTCATATTGTTGTATATGGCAAGATTTCCTTCTTTTTAAAGTGAATACTATTCCATTGTATGTACATATCACATTTCTTTAGACAAAGAATATGATATGCATGATATGAGATTTCTTGATGTATATTATTAACTTTGGCAAACACACATGTCCTATGATTCTCCCGCTTACTTTTCATGATAGTGTGGTGGACCATACATCAAATATGTAGCTCCAAAATGATACAATTATGTCTAAAATGGTATTAAAAAGACTGATGGGTTAGGTCTTAAAAGACTTATTACCTTGCTGGTGTGACCATGAGCAAGATATATTACATTCTTATATCTTATTTCTTCGTTTTTAGAAAAAGAGATGTTCATATTCATCTTTCAAAGGGCAGTGATGATTCAATGAGATAAACCCAACACAGCACATGACAAAGTCACAAGCATTCAATAAATATGAGTTCCCTTCTCTTTAACTCTCTGCTTTCATGGTAATTTAAATTTTAAATAAGCTAAGAGTTTTTACCTTTATTTTTTGTATATTATTTATCAATATTATCACTGGCTTATCTACCACAACACGGCTCGAGCTTTTGTCTGTTCACTGCAGTATCTTCAGCGCAAGGAAAAGTACCTGGCATATAGACAACACTCAATAGTCAATGAAGGAATGAATGAATGGGAAGCTACAGTGGATATGAATGAGTGGAAAGCTGAATTTGAAGGTCACTTAGGCACACTGCTTCCTGTTTTTAATAGAAGAGATACATTCTGAAAGTACATTTAGATAAGCAATATCACAAAACCCTCTATTAAAGACAACAATGGGTCGACTTTATATAGTGCTACTTCAACCTTAAAGAAAGCACTAACGGGAAAAGTCTGGCCCCAAAGACTCCTGAATCAGAAGGAGGTCAACAGTTCCCAAGACAGCAGGAACTACTGCATTTATGACATCAGACAAAGCTGAGAGTGAGCTTGGGAAGTCCTGGTGCCTTCTAGTCACCTCCACTGAGTAGTCATCAGCAGTTAGGGTCACCTAACAAGCTTTTGAACTTATTTTCCATGATAGTAAGGTGGCCTGTTAATCAAATATATGATTCTAGAAGGATATGATCACATTGAGAGCTTGTACCCAACATCAGAGTAGTTGGAATTTTTTTTTACTTCTCATAATTTGTTTTATTTTATTTTATGAGTTTATCGGTACATTTTAGGTAGGTTACATTCATTATTGAGATCTTGTACCTTTACATGACAGGTGGTCTTGGTTCTCATTTTTTCCCCTTGTCCCTGCCCTCGCAATTAACCAGTGTGACTCCAGAACAAAAGAAAGTATCACAGCTAGGAACAGAAACCTAGATCAGTCAGAAAGCTGGCTCTTCCACTGACAAGCTCTATGCTTTGGGTAAGTTATTTAATCTCTGGTCAAGCAGGTCTTGGTTTCATCATCTGTAAATTATCAACATCAGCCTATTTTATCTTGAAGGTCCTCTCAGTTCAAGAGCACCTTCCTGGACTCTGGAAGCCCTGGCCAGTATCCATCCCTATGGCCTTGATTGTCTGAAAAATTACATACATAGAAACCACAGATGATAGTAGGGGGAGAAAACTGGAGGAAAAAGTCACTCCTTCCCCCTCATTTCAGGAGTAGCCGCTCACAATTGCTCACATCTGGCACGCCTCAACGGCAATCATTTGTGAGGTTCAACAACCTTGAAAGTGAAATAAGGAGCTTTACCTTCAAAAGGAAAATTAAAGACCTGGAGCAGACCACTTGGGACCTTTTTATTCCACCTGGATAATGGTGGGTATTATAACTACATGCAGCAGTGTGTTTATGTGAATAGGCTAACACATACCTTTAGGCTATAAAATAGTGCTTTAGGATATAACATGTTGACTCAGATACAAAATAAAATACTGTTTGTATTATAATGTTTAATGAAAAGTCTAAAGACATGCCTATTTAATGAAGCTCTACTTTTTATAGGACCTGCCTAAAAATGACTGCTTTAAAAAATGTAACTCTGGGTGGTCTCACACCTAGAAGTGGCAAAAGAATCCTTTGTTAGGCCATGTATCTTAATTTTTGGTATGGAAAATGTGGTCACCATAATTACAACTCAGAAAAAATAAAGGGTTTTAAAAATTCTGTGCAGAATAGGAGTAAGAGTTCATTAGCATTTAATAAAATGGTAATTTAACCAGCTTTTAGGTATGTAGTAATCGCATTCAATGATACAATACTGGACAGTTTTCTATTTTACCTTATGGCTATTTATCAAGGTGTCTTATTTCCTCTAATAGACTTGAACTCCTTGAGAACAAATGTTATGTTACCTCTATCCCTGTAACCTCTACCACACTGTGTACCTGGCTGTTTTTTTGTGTTCAATGAACCAAAGAATCTTTCAGGAAAATCACTCAAGAAATATGTCAGAGTCGGAGGAAATCAATGTACAATTTGTTTAAAAATTATTCTCTTAGGCTTAAAGCTATTTCAAATATCTTTAAAAGGTTCATTTATGGAAAAAGTTCATCTGTGCAGATTATGAAATGAGATTTGGCCAAGGAAAGAGTTAATACTAATCACATATTAATGAAGGAGGAGAGAGAAAGTTTGGTTGTGTCATTTAGTCACTTGGTTACTGAAATATGCTTCCTGATTGAAAGGCATCATTTGGGCTGAATAATCCAAAGTGGATTGAGTGCACAATGTGATTCATTCTCTCCACCCCCCCTCCCATGCTCTCTCCCTACCTCCCTCCCCCTCTTGTGTCTTCTTGGCTTTGAAATGAAAAGATCAAAGCCAACCAAGTCTATGGAAAATTAATGAGAGCTGAACACTGCTTGCAGTTAATATGCTTAGTTAACTCAGGCAGCAAAAAAGAACAACGTGGTCCTTTATCACACAGGATAAAATACAAAAGCCTTAATATACAATTTTATTTGTTAGTTAAAAATACATAAAAACTTAAAATATATTAGATTTTTTAAAAGCCTTCCAAGAAGGCTGGGAGCAATGTGGGGCCTGAATTTTCCCACACCTGGAAGCATCATTGCTATGGATGCCTCATGTTTCTTGCGTTCCTTAATTCTACATTACAACTCACTTTCCCTCTAAACATGAATATGTATCCAAAATGCTATTATGTTAGCACTGAGACGCTGTCTTCCCAAATGCATCATGCCACCAGAAGTGGGTAAAAAAAATAATTCTTCAAATCTATTTTCTTTTGATTTCTTGGAACAGAAAACAGGATGACTTATGCACAGGTGAGAAAAAACAATGTTTCATGAAATGGGTAATATGAAGTGGGTTTGATAATATGTAGCTGCCAAATACATGTGGGTTGAAATAGGTTTCAGTGTGTACCTGAAAGCTTGGGTCGTTGTAAGGATGCTAAAATTAAAAAAGAGCCCAACCTTCACAGTCCAACACGGGTCCAGCTACCAATCCCCACCCCATCCCATCATGTCTTAGCTGGACCACTCTTGACAGATCATTCACTTACTTTGAGTTTCTCTTTCCTTGTCTGAAAATGGGGGAAATGTTCCTACCAGCCAGAGGTTTGCAGGACACAGACAGTGCGAATCTAGAATTTAGCACCTCTCTGTCATGTGGCGATAACTCACTACATGGAGGCTATTTCTGTCGCCGTGTTCTGCTGCAGTTTGTCCTGATCGAAATATGCAGCATCCAATAGAACACCAAAGTATTCCTGTGTTTTCAGTGAAGTTCCTGTGGTGCAGCTTCTGGAGAGGAATAGTGGCTGGGTGGTGTCAGTCACTTTTACAGTTGGCATTTTGCACATTCACATCCAGCAAATCAGGGGAAATATCACAAGCAAGGGCAAAGAGAAAGGAATGCAGGAGAGGAAGATGGAGGAAAGGAGGAAGGAAGGAAGGGAGGAGGGAAGGAAGGAGGGAGGGAGGAGGAGGTAGTAAGTTTTAATAAAATAATATGTTATTCATATGGCCATCCTCATCGTTCTCCAGTCACCAATTATTTCAAATCCAAGTAAAAACCATTACTACTCTAATGTGGAGAAGTGTACAGCCTGAGAAAACATTCTTCTGTTGGGAAATGGGAGTGGAAGGTAGACAAGAAATACAAACCCTGAAAAAAATCTCAGCTGATATTGGTCTGTCTTCCTCACTCTGATGTGGGATTTTCTCTGTGGAAAACGTGTTTTTTAATATTAGGTCATAAGGTTAATTTCATTTGAGCTTTTCAAGTTATTTGGTCTTATTTTGTAAGAAAGTAGCTGTGTTTGTTTTTCTAATGCAGCAAAGTAGCTTCAGGTTGAGGAAAAAGAGTACTGTGATATGGAAGAAGGTTTAGCAAGACTATACCATGCACTGTACCTGCACATACAGAACACATACAGGGCCACAAACATGCACATACATACATGGTCACAGAGACACGCTGACACAGATGCACACAGGCACAGACACAGGGATGGACTACACACACACACACACACACACACACACACACACA